GAGCGTGTGAAAACTATCCACTGTCATGCTTCCGGTTTGGTCGTATGTTTATCGATAGTGTAAATGCACGCTAAATAAAAGTTATTATGAAAATTATTTACGTTGTGACAACTGTTCATTGCTTGTCAATGTTACAGTTCACCTCGCGTTCAGTTATGACATCATTTTAGTCATCATCACACAAAGTATCACACACTGCACCTGGAGTGTCACATGAAGATAACTGTAAGTCTTGATTACAAGTCAACAGAGAGGAAAAATGTTTGACCCAGTCACATGGGTCAATATTAACATTTATAACAGGTGTTTCCCTAGGGGTGTTTACGCAATCGATAAAAATACGACCAAACCGGAAGCATGACAGTGGATAGTTTTCACACGCTCTTCGCATGCGCACAGCGAGTTGAAAAGTAATGTGAAACCAACGAATTTGAGCTGGTGATTTTTCAATAATTTCAAAGAGATATCAAAATACTTTCGGCACAGGTACTACAAATATGTACCCCAGGTACGTTTCTGTATACAGACATGTACCTTAAACGAAGACAAACTACAGAAACGTACCCGGTACCCTAAACGACGGACGAGTCCATATTCCGCAACCAAAAAACCAAAACCGTATGTAGTTGTTCCCGTTCAGCTGATTGCGAGTGGTGTACGTTGTGCACCGTGACATATTTGTTACTGTGTATGCTCTTATATAACGATATCAAATGCATCTAATACAACAGTATGACCGTTCCGATGGAGAAAACTCCACAATGCAGAATGGAATCGTCAAAGGGTACGTTTCTGTATTCTGATTTTGGCTAGGGTACATTTCTGTATACAGAAAAATGCGTTGTTCACAACTACTTCATATAAGAAATAGTTCTGATTGCAATAGTCACATTTTCTTTCCGTAAACTCAAAATTTCAAAACATTCGGACAACACGAGTGTTGCAGTTACCCAGAGGGCGCTCTCGCCAGCTAGTCGTCATGTTCTGAAGCGTCTGGTTGTCAACCTCAAGCCGACTCTATCCTGGGACTGTAACAATCTCCTATTTTGTCCTTTTGATGTTTCATTTAGTAAACTGACATGATGTGTGGTCGCATGGCTGTGGTCTGGGTGGAGCTCTTAGTTATGTGTATGTATTAAACCTGATTTAATGTAAATAATCCACGTGACAGTGCAAGTGCCAATGAAGAGACGTAGACCAGGTGATGACAGTTGACTTGAGAATTTCCTTTCTTATTGGTGCTTGCAAACATTTTAGAGATCGAGAAGCCCCCTCCCTCTGCGAGCCTCATCGGAAGTACCTCAGGATGTCGTTGAATGCTTGGGATTCTCGTCGTTCACAACGTCAGCCCCAACATGGGTCCCTAAGCGGAAGTACAGATTTCTATCCTTCCTCCCCCCTGCCACTGTGGGCGGCGTCTCGGACAGAATAAGGGACGAATGGATGTGAATGAGCTCAGACAGTAGACGACTCGGACCAAACGACTCACCGCTGCTTCCCGGCTGTGTGGTCTGAGGTCTGATGGGCGTGCTGGCACTGCAACCCATGTGTGTTCCGATATGACAGTACCACGACCGAAGATGGATACCAGCCTCCAGACGGTACAGCGGGAACCGCCTTCAGTTTCAGTCAAGGTTCATCCAGCGTTAGTCCTTCTTCACGTCCTTATCGACTTCCATAAGACACCAATGCAGCAGATAACGTTCTGTGTTTGACGTGAAGACAGCTCTGTCTGAAATGTCCCAATACCGGTTAAAGTTATTTTGATAGCACATGTTAAACGTAGAAAGCATATAATCTAAATACGATATTTCGTTCTGTCACAATTAATCACAATTCGCTGTACGAATACCTACTGGAAGACACAGTTTATTTGCAATTCCTGGAATTCAGAAGTCAGCACATGGCCTCATTCACGGTATTCAACTAGGACTTATACAGACATTCGTGCGTGACTTGATCACTGGGAAATATACGTGTTACATCATGCTTGGTCACACCTATTGTTTTGATTGTTCCTGAGCGGAACCTTGCAAACGGCGTCATTTGAGATCGAAAGAGAACCATTGTTTGGAACTTACATAACCAAGTATTATTGGGTGTTATCTTCCGATTATCACCTTTCAAATCTCATTCCCACATTTAAAATGCATCATTCGTCGTCCATGATATTCAATGGTGGAGTTGAAGTATCTGTCTAATAATCAGGATGAGGTTGGTTTGATGTTTGGGAGATTATTTTGACAATATTAATTTTGCTGTTGTGTATCTTGATACAACGGCCCGTGACGATCCGGTTAGAATTGGTCTTCAGCAACCCATGCTTGAAGTAATAACGGGATCGGATGGTCAGGGGTTTGACTTGGATGACACATGTCATTGAATCCCATCTGCGTAGACTGATGCTCATGCTGCTGATCACAGGATTGTCTGTTCCAGACTCGATTATTTACAGACCGCCGCAATTTAGTAACAAACCTTGATACAACGTAAGGCCGAATGTTCCTACCAATGGTTTGGGGTCCCCGCCATGGTATGTCTGGAACATTGCTAATGGCAACATAATCCTTACATCATATGAGTTAACACCAACATTGTTATCGTCTGGCACCATTGTACTTACCGACTGTGTCTTGCAAGGCTGGTCATGTACGATGCTGTGGTGATGACGTTCCTGTCCGCTCGCTCTCGTCAGTTGGTATACCTCGTACAACGTTCCTCTTCCATTAACATCTTCAGCAAGTAAAGTGATCTTGTCTACACCCAGTGCACGCAGATCAACATTTTACAGCATTTGTAGCCAGTCGTAAAAGGTGCTTCCGTCCGTGTCTTAGATGGCTGACGTTATGAAGAGTCGCTGCATGCTATTTCTCATGCCGTTCATCGCCATGGCAACGTGCTGGTCATTACTTAGTTGTGCTTGAGAACAATTAGCAGACTCCTGGGTCCATCATCTGTCAATAACCTTGCAACTGGATCATTGTCGCTAACGACCTAATGACACGGGGATAATTTCTGCCCACAAACACGTCTATTGTCTATTTCTTTCATGCGTCAAAGATTAGCATGCAATCCGTGCATTTCTACTGACGGTACAAGGGTCCCTTCCTTTAGTTTCCTTCCGTCACCCCCTGTGTCCTTGTTTTTATGATAATTCTACAAAGGAAACATTTACACAACTACATATGCACCCCACCAGAGACCATATAATATGGTCTCTGACCCCACTCAGTTTGTTCCTAAACTAATCCAACAAAGGACACATTAGACAGATGTCCCATCATCCCACTATTTGTACGTGTTTTTATACATATCCAACAAAGGACACATTAGACAGATGTCCCATCATCCCACTATTTGTACGTGTTTTTATACTAATCCAACAAAGGACACATTAGACAGATGTCCCATCATCCCACTATTTGTACGTGTTTTTATACTAGTCGAACAAAGGACACATTAGACAGATGTCCCATCATCCCACTATTTGTACGTGTTTCTAAACTAATCCAACAAAGGACACATTAGACAGATGTCCCATCATCCCACTATTTGTACGTGTTTTTATACTAGTCGAACAAAGGACACATTAGACAGATGTCCCATCATCCCACTATTTGTAAGTGTTTTTATACTAGTAATGTTTTTATACTCTAACAAAGGACACATTAGACAGATGTCCCATCATCCCACTATTTGTACGTGCAAAGGACACGATTAGACAGTTTTATACTAGTCGAACAAAGGACACATTAGACAGATGTCCCATCATCCCACAATTTGTAATGCGTGTTTCTAAACTAATCCAACAAAGGACACATTAGACAGATGTCCCATCATCCCACTATTTGTAATGCAAAGGGACACATTTTTATACTAGTTGAACAAAGGACACATTAGACAGATGTCCCATCATCCCACTATTTGTAATGCGTTTTTATACTAATCCAACAAAGGACACATTAGACAGATGTCCCATCATCCCACTATTTGTAATGTGTTTTTATACTAGCTCCAACAAAGGACACATTAGACAGATGTCCCATCATCCCACTATTTGTACGTGTTTTTATACTAGTCGAACAAAGGACACATTAGACAGATGTCCCATCATCCCACTATTTGTACGTGTTTTTATACTAGTTGAACAAAGGACACATTAGACAGATGTCCCATCATCCCACTATTTGTACGTGTTTTTATACTAGTCGAACAAAGGACACATTAGACAGATGTCCCATCATCCCACTATTTGTAAGTGTTTTTATACTAGTTGAACAAAGGACACATTAGACAGATGTCCCATCATCCCACTATTTGTAATGCAGGTTTATACTAGTCGAACAAAGGACACATTAAGCAGATGTCCCATAATGCCTCTATTTGTACGTGTTTTTATACTAGTACTATACTAGTTCTATGTACTTGTTTTAGACAGGTGTCCCTTTATATCTCTCTATGTACTTGTTTTAGACAGGTGTCCCTTTATATCTCTCTATGTACTTGTTTTAGACAGGTGTTCCTTTATATCGCTCTATGTACTTGTTTTAGACAGGTGTCCCTTTATATCGCTCTATATTACTCATATTACATGAAGTGTACCAGTATGATAATGCATTCATAACCTTCCCTTATAGCAAGTGATTTGGGTTTAACACCACAAAGAACAGTGTCAGTCACTATGTCACTAAATCATTATGTCTATATTTATGAACCCGTGAAGATCTGGGTTAGAATTGATCTTTATAAGCCATGCTTGTCATAAGAGGCGACTAAAAGGATCAGGTGGTCAGACTCGCTGACTTGGTTGACGCATGTCATCGGTTCCCAAATGCGTAGACCAATGCTCATGTTGTTGATCACTGGATTGTCTGGTCAGACTTGATTATTTACAGACCGCCGCCATATAGCTGGAACATTGCTGAGTGCGCGTAAAACTACACTCACTCTCTCACTATACTTATGAAATGATGCAAAGATATAAAACAGTAACTGCACTATAATAGATATCACAGTTTATTTGTAAACATACATATGTACATGGTTCACCCTGGCTGTCAGTATTCCAGGTGACTGCAGCTGTTGCTGTGGGAATCTGTCTGTTTCTATGTTCTGGGCTGAGCATCAGTTGTAGGGAAAGAGTCGAGTAGGTAGAGGCCACACTTTGTCTGCAAGGAGAAGGGCTAATTTAAGACAACAACTGAGATAAGATTGCTCCCATATCTGTTATTTAAATGTGTTTGACACCTAATCTATTTAGATTATAGCATGTCGGCTTCATGTGGGAGGAAGACTCCCAAATGGCTGGGCTTGTCATCCTAGGGATAGCTGATATATGGTGTACTATTACTGAGTGTTCAGAGGTGTGCTACTACCAGCTGCCAGCAGGTTTCAACTGGATCTGTGTGTGTAAGCACAAGCTTACTGCAAATGTTTATGAATTATGCAGACTAGCAATATACTGTACGATGATTGATAGTGATTAATCAGTGATTCATCAGACTATTTAACATGCCTGAAATCTGAATGAGTGATGAATACTTACAGGTACATTATGCGTCTGGATACATATCACTAATATATAGGAGCCATATGTTTTGTTTCAAAAATTACAATAAGATTCAAAACTAGATTACAACTTTCAGTTTCAAAGATCTAAAATCTTCACAACATGACCCGTCATTTTGTTCAATTGTTTTGCTTAAATCTTATGACCTGCCTGCTAATAATCACAATATCTTCACAAAAACATGGCACTTGTGTGATACCTCCTTGCTGAAAGGGTCAACTCACCACTGTCCAGTGCTGTGTCGAAGGGCTTGGTGTAGGTGTTGATGTACTCACGGGTAGCATCATACAGTTGTCGTCCTCCTCCAGGAGGTAGTGGATTGCAGCTGCAGCCAGACACCATTCATAAATATTATTTATTATTATTATAGGATATTTATATAGCGCACATATCAACACAACTAGTACATGTTCCCTTTATCAAAGGATATCTTTTTTTTCTGGCATTGTTTTAACCAACTCAACTCCCTGGGGAATATTCAACTGATGCAGCCTGTTTGGCGCAACGAGTAATCACACAGTCACATGGAGACAACAACATTCTGTAACACTTAGAACAGCCTCCAACAACAACCTGGAATATAAAACCACTGAAACATCAGACGAGAAGTAATGAATGACTTGATTAAGGACAGCAATGTTCGACTGCCATTGCACAGGGAGTCAGCAGGTAATGTCAACATGGACCAACATCATACATTTGCCTCAAGTCATATCTCTTCCAGAGCGTCAGCTTGTACAAAACGATTTTAGCTTAAGGTGACCTTTAACTCCCATACCTTAACATAGACTTAAGGTACTCTTTAGCTTAAGGTTGCTTTGTATTAACGGTAGCCTTAGACCTAGATTTCGTTTCTTTCTTAGAGCCAAGATAGTTGTAAGTACCATACATTAACATTAACTTTACTTACTTATCTTAGCTTTAGAGAGCATCGAAAATCTAGGCCCAGTTGAAGATGTGCAGGTGATGCAGGCACTCCATGAGGTATACCTGAGGATTCCCATGTTTAGAATTCCACGCTTGATTACTAGTATGAAGGAGACTGATCGCCAGTAGGGCTGCGCAATACAACCGGTTTACCGGTATTTACCGTTCAGACATGAAAACGATACGCATTGCGCATACTGGATCGAAACCGTATTTTGACATGCATTCGAAAACTTCAGAACATTCGGAAATCTTCGGATATTTCCGTTTTTAATTGTTCTTTTCCTCGGTTTCATTAGTGCCAAATGTTACTTACATTTTTATTTTGTCATGATTAAAAGTTTTATAAAAGGTTAATCAATCATAGTGATTTTGTTGTGTTTTTTGCTTTATAATCAAGCATTAACTTGATTATAAGTAGTTTTGTTAAAAATAATCCTTTGCAATATATTGCAATACATATCGCAATATGTGCTTCCGATCGCAATATATCGCAATATGAAAATTCTCTGCAATACCCACCCCTAGTCGCCAGTGGTGGTTCATACAATCACAACAATCCTTTATTTGAGAATTGTGTGACAATCAGATTGGTGCTGAATCTTCTGGGAGCACTACTCCAAGGGAGGTTATCCAAGAGACTAGCAGCACAAGCTGGAACATTGCTGAGTGCAGCGTGAAACTACACTCACTCTCTCACTATACTTATGAAATGATGCAAAGATATAAAACAGTAACTGCACTATAATAGATATCACAGTTTATTTGTAAACATACATATGTACATGGTTCACCCTGGCTGTCAGTATTCCAGGTGACTGCAGCTGTTGCTGTGGGAATCTGTCTGTTTCTATGTTCTGGGCTGAGCATCAGTTGTAGGGAAAGAGTCGAGTAGGTAGAGGCCACACTTTGTCTGCAAGGAGAAGGGCTAATTTAAGACAACAACTGAGATAAGATTGCTCCCATATCTGTTATTTAAATGTGTTTGACACCTAATCTATTTAGATTATAGCATGTCGGCTTCATGTGGGAGGAAGACTCCCAAATGGCTGGGCTTGTCATCCTAGGGATAGCTGATATATGGTGTACTATTACTGAGTGTTCAGAGGTGTGCTACTACCAGCTGCCAGCAGGTTTCAACTGGATCTGTGTGTGCAAGCACAAGCTTACTGCAAATGTTTATGAATTATGCAGACTAGCAATATACTGTACGATGATTGATAGTGATTAATCAGTGATTCATCAGACTATTTAACATGCCTGAAATCTGAATGAGTGATGAATACTTACAGGTACATTATGCGTCTGGATACATATCACTAATATATAGGAGCCATATGTTTTGTTTCAAAAATTACAATAAGATTCAAAACTAGATTACAACTTTCAGTTTCAAAGATCTAAAATCTTCACAACATGACCCGTCATTTTGTTCAATTGTTTTGCTTAAATCTTATGACCTGCCTGCTAATAATCACAATATCTTCACAAAAACATGGCACTTGTGTGATACCTCCTTGCTGAAAGGGTCAACTCACCACTGTCCAGTGCTGTGTCGAAGGGCTTGGTGTAGGTGTTGATGTACTCACGGGGTAGCATCATACAGTTGTCGTCCTCCTCCAGGAGGTAGTGGATTGCAGCTGCAGCCAGACACCATTCATAAATATTATTTATTATTATTATAGGATATTTATATAGCGCACATATCCACACAACTAGTACATGTTCCCTTTATCAAAGGATATCTTTTTTTTCTGGCATTGTTTTAACCAACTCAACTCCCTGGGGAATATTCAACTGATGCAGCCTGTTTGGCGCAACGAGTAATCACACAGTCACATGGAGACAACAACATTCTGTAACACTTAGAACAGCCTCCAACAACAACCTGGAATATAAAACCACTGAAACATCAGACGAGAAGTAATGAATGACTTGATTAAGGACAGCAATGTTCGACTGCCATTGCACAGGGGAGTCAGCAGGTAATGTCAACATGGACCAACATCATACATTTGCCTCAAGTCATATCCTCCAGAGCGCCGTTGTACAAAACGATTTTAGCGCTAAGGTGACCTTAACTCCCATACCTTAACATAGACTTAAGGTACTCTTAGCTCTAAGGTTGCTTTGTACAACGGCACCCAGGACCTAGATTTTCGAAGCTCTCTTAGAGCCAAGATAGTTGTAAGTACCATACATTAACATTAACTTACGACTATCTTAGTGCTAAGAGAGCATCGAAAATCTAGGCCCAGTTGAAGATGTGCAGGTGATGCAGGCACTCCATGAGGTATACCTGAGGATTCCCATGTTTAGAATTCTACGCTTGATTACTAGTATGAAGGAGACTGGGATCGCCAGTAGGGCTGCGCAATACAACCGGTTTACCGGTATTTACCGGTTCAGACATGAAAATGATACGTATTGCGATACGCTGATCGAAAACCGGTATTTTGACATGCATTCGGAAAACTTCGCAACATTCGGAAATCTTTGGATATTTCCGTTTTTTTAATTGTTCTTTTCCCGGTTTCATTAGTGCCAAATGTTACTTACATTTTTATTTTGTCATGATTAAAAGTTTTTATAAAAGGTTAATCAATCATAGTGATTTTGTTGTGTTTTTGCTTTATAATCAAGCATTAACTTGATTATAAGTAGTTTTTGTTAAAAAAATAATCCTTGCAATATATTGCAATACATATCGCAATATGTGCTTCCGCATCGCAATATATCGCAATATGAAAATTCTCTGCAATACCCACCCCTAGTCGCCAGTGGTGGTTCATACAATCACAACAATCCTTATTTGAGAATTGTGTGACAATCAGATTGGTGCTGAATCTTCTGGGAGCACTACTCCAAGGGAGGTTATCCAAGAGACTAGCAGCACATAATCAAGTACATTTGACATACTCTACCAAAAGTCTTTGTAACGTCTTTTTTAATCTACAGTGATTTATGTATCTTTAATATATTACCTTGTTGTGGTAGAAACTCAGGCACATTCTGGTGCAGAGAGTCCATGGCATTCTTGAAATTGAGCTGAAAGAAGACACAATCAACTGAAGATCTTTACACAAACATCATATACATTGACTGTTGGGCAGTGCATCTTGATTTGTTATATTCATAAATTATTTTTGTGTCCTGTTTCTCTAAATTTACTTTGTTAGTGTTAATTCCCAAGTTGAAAACTAAAATGTTAACTGGGAATTAGTGTGTAAGAGAACTTGGTGTGAAACCAACACCACAAGTAAGCTGTAACTTTGTGACAGATTATGTATCATTCCAGGCCTTGAGGAACAGGCTGTTTCAAGTCAATATCATATTTGCTCTGGCTTGAAATTGCCCAAACTGCAAGTGTGTATTTCAAAATACTCCCATAAAGAGCAGCTGCTATAATTAATTGTGGTACTAACTATTCCATGAGAGTCAGATGACTTCATTATGAGTGCACTGAAAATTAGGATAAGTTAAATACTGAAATGTTCCATGGCTCAGGTTTTGCACCAACCTTGGGAGTTTTGCTGATAAACTTGCCCAGTTTTAGCAGTTGGGTGAGGACATCAACAATGAGTTTGTCTGTGGTTTCTGACGGCTCAAAAGCCTCCAGACGGTGAGCTTCTATGTCCAGTGTCCGGAATGACCATTGCTGATAAAGGCGCTGGGGAATGTGGCGGAACATTAAGGAAAACATCACCGTACCATACAGTCTGGAATCAGAACTCTTCCTTTCCCAGATCATCAGAACACAGACACCAAGTCAGTTACATGACCATCTTCCACAGTACCATCAGATAAATGTTGCCAGACAAGAGACAAAACTATAACATTGTGAGTAGATCAAAACATTATCAATCACGGCCTTGCAGAATACTTAATTCTGATTGTTTATTACATGGCTTCAAAACTCCAGCCTCTGATTATCTGTGAGGATTTGTCAGTTGCATTATGAGTGAAATTAGTCAGTTGCGTTATGAGTGAAATTAATCAGAGGTATCAGAAATGGGGAAATTACTTCTCAGTTTCAAAATAATATTTGTACATGTAGGTCACTGGATGGCAAATGTTTGTTCCTCGAAAAAGTCCTAAAGCATATGTTCCAATATATTTCGGACAGAAATTATGTCAGATTCCAAATTAAACTTGTCTACAGGTAACATGGCTCTACAGCAAAAACAGACTATGTTAACTTGTGGTTACATTTTGGACAAAAACACATGATATCATCAATGAACTTCACAAGACACTCTCCCAAACCAATGACACAACATTCAGCTATATTACCAAGCTGTCTTTAATGTCACAATGCTGTTGTTATTGAACATCTGGATGGTGTAATATTCTATTGTCATATTGCTAGCACCAGTTCTGGTGTATTAACCACCTGGCTTCAAACAAAAGGATATATCATGAGAGATGACAAGTATCTTGGCCTTGGAGATGAATCCCTCATCTGACGTTTCACTGTGATGCAACTCCTTCACTATCTCTAGCAACATGTCTGAGGAAGTCTGCAACAGCCAATATCAGTTCATTCTGTATCAATATGACACTTGGGCTTACTGCTGCCATGACCAGTATTGAAGTTCCATCACAGTACAACTGTCATATCTCTTGCAGGTGCATAATCTATCCAATCATGACAAATATTCTTCTTTATTGAAATATTCTACCTTCTATGAATTGTCTAACATCTGTCTCGTGAAGAGAAGTTGTAGTAAAACTCAAGCAAACACACAGAGTCTCCTTAATGAGGAAGCTCCATATAGAGATTAAAGGTAAACAAATACATACAAAAGTCAGGCTGGTCAAATAAACACAGACATAAAAATGAAAAGGACTCATATTATGTCAGTTCCAAATGTTTCCATTTATCATGATATATCTGTAGTTTGTAGCTCACCTCCACTACATGTACGATGTGCTTCATGTATATCAGCATCAAGCCAGTCACTGACTCACTCTGGTGGACATTCTGAAGGTTCTTCAGCTGTCTCTCATAGTAATCTGAAAAATACATTATCACTGTCAATCTCACAACAGATGAGTTCAGATTGACAGAATATGTCCACATCTGTGACCTCATCTTTGAAGAAACTATCAAATCACAGATGATATAACTGGAGGTGTTTGCATTTGTTGACAAAGACAAAACCGTAAAGCCTTAATGCACCACAATATATTTCCAGTTCAAAAACATTACTCCAAGACCTAGACCTTAATCCAGACCTCTCAGGGTATAACAATTACCCAAGTCTTTGAGAAATTCAACAGAAATGTGTAAACATAAAGTTTCATGCCTGCAGACATGGTAAAAGTGCCTATGAAATTGACAGTCATATAATCATGTTGCACAAAAAGCTGAATGCTATATGTCAGAGAAATGACATATACTCATATACACAGACACACACAAACACAGTTTGGATGCACAGTGATATGTTGAACTGAACATGTCGCAAGGATGGAGGCTTACATACTGTCTGCACTGATCATGCTAAATTACCATTTATTTCATATGTATTTTTAAGTTTTCTTTTTCAGAAATAATTTGTAAGAAAATATTATAAATATGGCATTTGTTTTAGACACTATTCAAAGCAGGGTGTGGTTTCGGGGTTTTTTTTCAGTACCTGCACTGAGTGCAACTTGGCTTGTAGGTTTGGCTGCACCATCAAAATTTGGGTTGCACCATTAAATAATGTCACTGGTTCTAAACAGTAACATAAATACTTGTTTAGCAATTTTCATAACAAGTACTAAGTATGAGATACATTCAACAGAATCTGACCCAATGATGATAAATTATGGATGATTCTGAATCTCAATTATATGATTACGACTACATAACTGATTGATGAGTGCACAAATGTTTCTGCTTGTAACAAGTCATGCGTAGAGAAACGTATTACTTGCAGTTCCTTACTTCCCAATTAAGACACACGATGCCAGCTCCAAGATGTTGGAGGATTTATTGTTACCTGCACCGTGTGTAACCCATTACTAAAGTACTCACGGAAATAGAAATAAAATGGTTTTGGTGTTTGTTTCGTAGTTTTGAACATAACTAAAGTTTGATTGTTAAATATTCTATGACTATCGTTTTTCCCAACGTTTATTTTTAACACCTTTGTAAAATCATCCAATATAGATGAGTTTACAGGAGAGCAAATTGTCATTTTTACCCGTTCAAATTGCATCATAGTATGCAAATTAGATGTACTCTCCATCGGTACATAAATAGAGAATACTACATGAGGTCTCATTACATACGAATTATACGAAACAAGTGTCCTTCCTATGGTATCTGACAGAGCCAAATGTAATGTAATGAGACCGAGTGTGGTATTTTATTTATTACCCACCTCTCACCTGCATAAAGTTGACAAAATAGCGTAGTTTTTGTTATTTTCAGGCTTTCAACCCGAAACCTGTTTCATAAAGAGGTTGCGGAAGAATTTTGTTCTGTAGTACACTTTTGCATGACATCACACCTTTGGTAACCGACGTCACGATGCATGTCAGTTGTCATCGCCTCGTACATCTTCCTACAGTAAACTACTCCGTAGCACCCCGTTTCTTGGTTTGCAATTGCTTCACTCGGCTAACATCACTGGTGGAAACATTGCGTTTATGTTTTTCGACGGATATAAGGTCTCAATTCGACTCACAATTAAACAGCGATACGGCAACAATCGCAATGTTTACATTCCCACAATGCATATAAGTTGTAGAATGAATGAATTCTCGTGTTTGTTATGAATGTAGTTCCGCCACAACATGACCTAACTGAGAGGTCATCGGTTATCCAATCAAATCGTTAGAATCTCAGGTCAAGTCGTTACGACACAGGTCAATGCGATACGACACTCGTGTGACTTACTAGATTAATATGCAACTACCCATATGTTGACCACGTGGTTAAATAATATATTTTATGAAAAACGTCATATGCCATTCATCCTTTATTTCTTTTATCCCAATTGATATACAAAATAATTGATTTAGGGATTTTCTCTTGCTGAAAGTTTACTATTTTTACGAGTTCATTCATAGCTTTGATTGTCAATTGTACAATCGCTATGGCAACACACGTGCAAATGCATCTTACCGTCTAAACAGTGCTGCAGGTAGCTGCTACCACCCATTGTTGATTGTGACGTAAGTTATGATATGTTTCTAAATTTGTTGATACTATACAAATTGTTGTTATTTTTACCTGTAAAATGTTATTTTGGATGATGATTAGAGGACCAAATTAAAAGGCATAGTTGGGAAAAACATAGTTATCTTAATATTTGTTAAAACTACCTATTGTAATGAAGTAATAAACAAATAAACGCCAAAAAACATTATATTTCTATTTCGCGAGTACTTTAAAGGTAACCTGCACCAGCCATTTTTAACATGCACCAGGACAGGTTTTAAATAGTGAAATCATACCCTGTAAAGGAATGTTCAAGATGTACAGCTCCAAACAAAAGATGTAAAAATACATATAAGTAATGTCTACTACCAGTGAGGTAATTAGGTAAATACACAAGCTGAATATTGGGGATGTTACTGAGGTCATGGTACCACATGTATCTTGATACTCGGGTCACCAAATATCTGGTAACAGTTAATCTAAGTCATTTTGTTTATAGATAAGGATTACCAGAGAAAAGAGAACTGACCATCAGCCCCCATCAAACACACTCACCAAGTCAAGTCATATCTGGTGTTCTGTATAAGACTAAGAGTGATTGAATGAGCGTATGGTTTTACACTGCTTCAAGCAATATTCCACAAATATCCTGGCACACCAGAAATGGGCTTCACACAATGTATCCATTGAGGAATCAAACCCATGAAAAGCGAAAGCTTTAACCGATAGGCTACCCCACCGCCCCTTCTGTATGAGAAAATTACAAGAGACAAATGTGTTATGTTCACTGTTTTAATAATTCAGGGAAAATGTGTTGAAAATCAGTGCTATCTCGCATTTGTCATAGAACCAAATAGGTTATAAACAGGATTAATAATGGAGTTTTATATGAGACATTAGTGCAAACTCAAAACAATAATAGTGACATTACTACTGAATATGTTCATGATGATCACTATCTCTCATAACACGACACAGTGTCCTGTACTCACTTCCAGCCTCCACCCGGTCAATGTCCTCATCTCGTAGTTTGGAAATGTAGACAACACGATGGATTAGGCTTTTCTGTAACAAGAGAGACAGTTATATTTAGACGTAAAATGTCACATTGTAGAGACTAATCCGGAATTTGGAAAAGGTAGGTGCACATAATATCGTGGATGCAGTAATCATGCAAGGATATGACAAAAAGCCAGTGCGCATAATACTGAGGAGGTAAATGTGCCTGACACCCTTTATAATCCACAACCATGACATTAGCATGATTAGTACCTTTCAGGACAAAGTGAGAACAAAACCTTGCTAGCTAGCAACTAGCGTTAAAGCAAATCACCATTCTCTCTGTGTCTGTTGAATCATGTCGTGTAACTTCAAAGTAATTTTTCTTAGGCCAGTCAAACACCCGTTCAGTCTTCTTGCCCTTCCTTTTTTTCTTGTCACTCAGAGCTGGATTAGCCCTAGCACTACCATCAGCATTTTCCTGATCCCAGGGCTGAGGTAGGTCAGCCCCTTCCTGTACCCCGTCATCCTTCTTCACGCCAGACATAGCAATCTGTAGAAGGTCCTGTAACCTAATGGTGTAATGCTACTGCTGGGGGGGGTCACTGTAACTCCCATAGCAACTACCACTCACCTGTAGGAACATACCCCCTGGCTAGCTACTTACTGGTATTTAGTTGCAACTGGAACTAGGATAATTTCTCACCATTTAAGTATGTGTTGTTAGTGGCAGTGACAGGACTATTGCTTTCTAAACAAAGCTATCACCTGCTAGATCAACATAGCGATCAAATTGTCCTGGCAGGTGCTGATTGATTGTCACACAATAGCAGGGCACCTCCCCCCACCCCACCAAATACTGTGGCTCCTGCCCTTTGCTCACTTCTGTTCCCCCCCCTCTCAGATTACACACCCCTCCCCCACTGTAGGCCTCCCCCCTTCTCTAAACACAGTCATGTATGTTCCAGTACCCTCATGTTCAGCCCTTTCCCAGCAACCATGTAGGGAATGAGAGAGATAAGGGTAACGCTCCAGGCAGAGCCAGGTGACCATGGAGGGTCTGATGGAGCCACACAACAGTCAAGACACGACACTCCACAACAGTCCCAGATCTACACTCAACAACAGTTCTCAACACAGCAATGTTAGTGTAAGGTGGTGATTATGAAAGCCAGACCACTGAGGTGATAGTCTACCAATATAATGGCAAAACAGGAGCCATGCTAAACATGGTAAGTTACATATATGTATGCAAGCAAACTGACTGTTACAAAGATGGTTACTGACTTAGGCAAAACACTTTAGTAAATATGAATGCTACCATCCCCAGCTGCAAATTCCTTGTATCAGACTGCCAATGGCATAATCAGATGCTCACACCATGCAGTTGATTTAGCCAAAACAGATAAGACAAAAGCTTTCGAAACAATTCATCATACAGCATCATCCACTGTGTTCTATTTGTAATAGTGTACTGTAAAAGGTGTTTGGGCACATGGGATTTATAGGACATTTATGCATATCAAATCTTTTGTACCACTGTCTCTGACAATTCAGTTCTGGAGTGTGTTACATTACTACTGTGTTATTAGTTGTTCACATTAATTTGTATAAAAATCCCTAAATTTATTGTGTTGGGAAATTTGCCACAATAATGAAATGGAGAACCAGAATGGTCTACTACTGTACTAATTTGATGGGATTCCGACAATGTAATTGAACTCATTAGGGGAAGAAACCACACACAATAAATAGTGAAACATTACAAGGTGGAACAAGTGAATTTCTGTTGAGCAAGCATTTTGTTTTTCGTCTAAATGTGTCTGTGTTAATATGACATTCTGAATAACTATATGTGTTCTATCTGTAGTAGTTCTGCTCAGTGTGAGGGGACAAAGGGGTTTATTAGGTAATTCTATAAAAGATTCATACAATTCTAGGGTTCGTGAGCAATTATCTGTGATGCTTCAGTTTTGGTGTATCCATTTTACACATTCCTGCTATGTTGTTAGTTATCCAGTTTTGTTTTCAACAAAACAACTACTTCATTAAACAACGTGGACTGGAAGGTTATCTTTCAATCATCCTTGGTTTTGTGGCAAAAATCTGTCGCATGCCGTAACATGATAGAAATCCATCGATGCTCACGCATCGGCCGGGGACTTTTAGCTATATGTGACCTAGGCATATGTGTGTTGGCATATCTATGGGCAACTTATGGACACATTTAACGAGATTTGTATTTATTACTTTCATGTTGAAGAAAAAATACTGTGTGATAACAATAAGCTGGTTTTATGGATTGTTTTATACTACAGTGTATACTTATGAACTGTCATAACTACTTTCACTTAAAAATACTACAAATTCAAAACATTATTCAACAAGCATTGTCACTTAAGGTGACATAATCCCCCGCCGCAAATTATCAAATCAAACTTAAAAAGTAATGAAAGTTTAAGATGAAGTTAAATGTCAACAAAAACATGACCAGTCAACCTCTCTTGATATCTTGCTCTTTAGTTGTTCAAACACACAAATATTTTCAAGACTGATTTTGGCCTTGACATGAATGTCATAGTGTTTGAAATATGCAAAAGTGGTACTAAAGAAATTGCTTATTGAAAAACATTCAAGGGAAGTCTTGAAAGTCTATGAAGAAAATCCAGTGAATTCAGGTTAACATCTTCAAAGTGTCGCAGTTACCTTGAAAACTATGTGAAAGTCACCAAAATTGATTGGGCCCTGCACCTTCATTAGATGAAGCTTGGTGTCAAATATGAAAACAATCCAGTGAATGTTTTTAGCGATATCTTGCTGACTATCTTAACATGCAATTTTACATGCTGAAATCATCAAAGTGTCACTATGACCTTGAAAATTATATGAAGGTCACCAAAATTGACTGGGACCTGCCCCTACAGTAGATGAAGCTTGGTGTCAAATATGAAAACAATCCAGCAAATGGTTTTTGCGATATCTTGCTGACTATCTTAACATGCAATTTAACATGCTGAAATCTTCAAAGTGTCACCAAGACCTTGAAAATTATATGAAGGTCACCAAAATCGACTGGGCCCTGCGCCTTCCCTAGATAAAGCTTGGTGTAGAATATGAAGAAAATTTAGTCAACGGTTCTTGAGATATCTCGCTGACAACAGTAAAACGTTAACGTCCCCTTGTGACCTTGAAATGAAGGTCAAGGTCACCAAACCTAACAGGGACCTTTCTTATACTGTGTGAACCTAGGTACCAAATAAGAAAAGAATCTAGTCAACGGTTCTTAAGTTATCCCAATTCGTACGTACGAACGGATGGACGGAGCTTAATACTATATCCCCCGCTTCGCGCTAAACGCGCTGGGGGATAATGACACTGTTGAGACGAGCTACTGCACACTTGATCATGTTGATGAACCAGCACACTTGCTGTGAGGCTGACATTACCATGATAACAGGGCATTGTTTTCTGTCCCTTGTATCACCATTTACAACAATTAACACAGCATATCATGGAGCTACAAATAGAAAAATATATAACTGAACTAATTTTAAGAAACTTGTAAACCAGATGAAGCACTAAGTTATGGTATCTTCTTTGCTCAACTGATACCAGAACTATTTACTAGTTTTACAAATTGGTATTATACATATATATATGAGCTGACTATTTTATATTTATGGTTCTAAACATATGTTTATTCTGTCTGCTCATCAGGGTGAACAGTCCAGCATTGGTAGACTGCATTATGATATTTGGGTCCCCAAACCTGAAGGAACAAAAGTTCACTAAACATTTAAACATGACCTTTTCATAATTTCCAAGCAGGGGGATTTTGCAGTCACCTTATTTGCTGCCTAGAGCTGTTATCATTAATCTTGATTGGCGATACAACCTGTGGGTGAATGGGAAAAACAAGGATGATAAAAAGGTGTTGAATCAATCTTTTCAATAAAATCACTCAATACATTACTGGGCTACATTTGTTTGCCAGTGAAATAGGTTCGCAACTTGGAAGCGGGCTGTCTGGTGAATACTCCGGTGAAGGCTTTGGTGTGAGCTATTTTCATAATGTTTTGTTGATATCTCACAGGCGCGAGCTTTTTATATGTTATGACAGTAAATAAACTGTTTATATAATTTCATTTGTCTATTTCACCACACGTTCTTCTTACCGAGTCACTTTCTCAGTTCGATACTTAAAAGCAATGTCATTATTTAGCGTTGACACAATTTCTAACTGTGATATAGATATGTCGTTGTCACAGACAAAACTCAATGTCTTGTTTTATTGACACCTGTGTGTCTGCCTGCCTGCCTGATCTTTTTGTAACCCTGGATACGCATTACTATGTTCTTGTAGCCTTTGGATACCCGTTACTATCTTTCTTGTAGCCCTTGGATACCTGATACTATCTTATTATAGCCCTTGGATACCCATTTCTATCTTCTTGTAGCCCCTGGATACCCGTTACTATCGTCTTGTAGCCCTTGGATACCCGTTACCATCTTCTTGTAGCCCCTGGATACCCGTTACTATCTTATTATAGCCCTTGGATACTCATTACTATCTTATTGTAGCCCCTGGATACCCATTACTATCTTCTTGTAGCCCTTGGATAGCCGTTTCTATCTTCTTTTAGCCCTTGGATACCCGTTACTATCTTCTTGTAGCCCTTGGATAGCCGTTTCTATCTTCTTTTAGCCCTTGGATACCCGTTACTATCTTCTTGTAGCCCTTGGATACTCGTTACTATCTTCTTTTAGCCCTTGGATACCCGTTACTATCTTCTTTTAGCCCTTGGATACCCGTTACTATCTTATTTTAGCCCTTGGATACCCGTTACTATCTTATTTTGCTCTTGGATACCCGTTACTATCTTATTGTAGACCTTGGATACCCGTTACTATCTTCTTTTAGCCCTTGGATAACCGTTACTATCTTCTTTTACCCTTGGATACCCGTTACTATCTTCTTGTAGCCCTTGGATACCCATTACTATCTTCTGTAGCCCCTGGCTACCCATTACTATCTTCTTGTAGCCCTTGGATACCCATTACTATCTTCTTGTAGCCCTCGGATACCCGTTACTATCTTCTTGTAGCCGTTGGATACCCGTTACTATCTTCTTTTAGCCCTTGGATACCCGTTACTATCTTCTTGTAGCCTTTGGGTACCCTTTACTATCTTTCTTGTAGCCCTTGGATACCTTTTACTATCTTATTATAGCCCTTGGATACCAGTTACTATCTTCTTGTAGCCCCTGGATACCCATTACTATTGTCTTGCAGCCCTTGGATACCAGTTAATATCTTCTTGTAGCCCTTGGATACCCGTTACTATCTTCTTGTAGCCCTTGGATACCCGTTACTATCTTCTTGTAGCCCTTGGATACCCGTTACCATCTTCTTGTAGCCCCTGGATACCCGTTACCATCTTATTATACAATGGATACCCATTACTATCTTATTGTAGCCCCTGGATACCCATTACTATCTTCTTGTAGCCCTAGATACCCATTACTATCTTCTTGTAGCCCTTGGATAGCCGTTTCTATCTTC